TTATTCAGGAGCAGAGAAAATTGCTAGTCAGGTGTGGGTATATCACCATCTGCTACAGGGGCCGTATGGGAAGCAGCATGAAGGCACAACAAAAGAATTGAGGGTGTTGTGACAGCATGATTCTAAAATTATTATTATCACTTCAGCAGGAATCCAAAATTATTATTATAACTTCTTGGTTTTTCTCAATATTTAACAGCTTCCAGAGAATTCATAAACTGAAATCTGCATCTTTTATACACTTAGTACTCTGGATTTCAACTACATGGGAACCAACTCAGATTAAGCATGGAATTAAGTACCGAGTTTTTGACAAAGCCTGTGCATCTCGCATCTGAATTGCTGATTTTGAAAGAGGGCTGCAAAGCTGATGAGTTGAAGGACCCTCTACATTTACCGGGTAGATAGGATCAGCCTTTTAAAATTGCCTTGTTTTTATCTTAAAACTTAATAGCAGTTCTCTGGTGTTAATTTCTCACTATATAAAAAAAGTCTCAGGAACTCTTCATCCTGGTGCCATGTAAAAAGAAGACATTAGGGACAGGGACGTGATTTATGATGGTATTTAAATATGGTATGGAAAGCACAACAGCAATTTAAGCAAGGAAACCGAGAGCAATGGGAATAATAGCCTAATTCGCTCTGTCCGCATTGGGGTCAGACCCAGCATTCATAAAATCACTGGGACGATGTCCCAGGCTTCTGGCTGCCTCAGAAGACAAGTAAATCCCAGCACCACTGAAGACTATTTATGAGACTTGAGTTTTATTTCAAAAAAAAAAAAAAAAAGAGTGATTGGAACAATTTCATGTGCCATAGTTAATATGCCAAAGGTGGCATAAAGTTACTATGATGAGAGAAGGTGCATTAATAAGGAAATATATCCAATCTGACATCCAGGGATTACTTAATGTCATACTTTTATTTCAGAAGATTCAGTTCCATTTTGGCAAACCAGCTTTTTAAAAACGTGCCTACACATCCACTGGGCCGTCACAACGCCTTAGGGCTCGTGTGAGTGCCAAAGCCTGCTCCTGGCTCCCTCCTTCTCCTCCTCCTCCTCCTCATCCTCCCTGCAGCCGAGGGCTGACCCCGCAGCATCAGCTGAATCATCAACAGCTCAGAAACGGGTGGGTCCAAGTACCCTAATGAGGTGGATTATGCATCTCCCAGTCACTGTTCAAGGTTTCAGGGTTCTTTTTTTGCCCAAGGACAATAGTTAGGGTTTTTTTACACTGATCAAATAGCTCTAATACTCTTTTAGATAAACATTTATATAATTCATGAGCAAGTCTAAAGTACTAGATCATTCTGATTTGATGATAAAATAACGTTAAAACTTTTCATTTCAAGAAACCTACTGCTCAGGTTCACGTCTGATTAAGCTCTATAAATCAAACTCTGCAAACTTTACCAAAACCAATGTTTATCAGTACTGATTTCCAGAGGAGTTTTGACCATGCAAGGATTGCAGGAGCTGGCCTGATTAAAATAGCAGTCGGACAATGAGTTTCACTACATAATTTGAATAGGCTAATCACAAACCTGAAGTCTGTGATGTGAAACCCCCTCTCCATGCCAGTCCTGCTGGCATTTGGACAATGGTTTCTCTTAGCCATCACCCACCTGCACAAAGGACATGCAGCTTCTTGGGGCTGCTAGTTAAAACTAATCCATATACTGCAAATATAAATATGTTTGTTAAAAGATCATGAAACCTAGCGACTAAACCTATATGCTAAACTGATGCTCATTTCTCCTCTCGCAGGCAGAGGGAAACGCATGTTTCTCAGTAACATTTTTGCTCTTTAAATCTATAGCAGGACCTCAAAAACATCTGGATACAGAAGAAACCCTGTAAAGACACTGTCATCCTCAGCGCTGACGTAGACCCCGTTCCAGTCCCGTGCAACCTCCAGCCACACCTGGTCGCCCGCGCTCAGCTTCAGGATGGTCAGGAAGGATGCCTGGTCAATCTCTTGGCCGTAGAGTGTCTCACGGGCTTTGGCCACCTTCCTGCTGCGGGCAACGAGGCTGACGCGGGCCGGACGCCCTCTCACTGTCAGGTGGTAGGCGAAGACGTATGCCCCGGGCACGCTGCAGTTGAATTTCCCCGTGGAAGGGTTGTAATCTTCTTGGTCGTTGTACAAGATCTTGTCAAATCTAATGGGGACGTTGGGCGGAGGGAAGGGCTTGGACAAGCCGGCGCTGAACGCTGATCGCAGGACCTTTGTGGTATCCCCTCGGGCACCCTTTGCCCCACGGGAGCCTTTCTTTCCCGGGGTCCCTCGGCCTCCCTTGCTGCCGGCAACACCCTTGGGCCCAGAAGGTCCCGTCATGCCGGTGGGTCCCAGGTCCCCCTTTTCACCCTTACTTCCTTGCTCACCCTTTTCTCCCTGTTTTCCATCCACCCCCTGAATGCCCTCAAACCCCATCTCCCCTTTGCTCCCTTTTTCTCCCTTTGTCCCCCCTTCCCCTCTTTCTCCCTTTGCCCCTCTCCCCCCTGGCTCCCCACAGTACCCCTTTGACCCTGTGTCTCCCTTTTCCCCTTTGTCACCCTGTTCTCCGTCCACTCCCGGGTCTCCAGCATCCCCCCTATCTCCCTTGTCTCCTTTGGTCCCGTTCTCACAAGTGTCCCCTTTGGACCCCTTTTGTCCCTTCAGTCCAGGGAAGCCATAGTTGCCCTTATTGCCTTTTACTCCAGCTTCACCTAGGAAAAGAGCAAAGTGGGGGGAAAAAAAAAAGATTAAAAACATTAGTATTGGATTGCTTCGGAGGTGGAGGGGCATCACCAAAATCAAAGGGAAAGGTCAGCGCAATATTCCTGCGTTTCCCAGCCCGTCTTACATACCTTGCAGCCCAGGTTTGCCTGGATAACCGGGGTTGCCACTTACTCCTCGCTCGCCTTGCTCCCCTTTGCCTCCTAGGACATTTCACCATTAATATACTGTTGGTGGTGGTGTCTGCAGCACAGCAATCATTACACAGAAGATGACTGATACCATTTTGTATGTGTCCCTCACTTCATTAATAAAACAGACATGAGCAACACGTGTTTTCAAGAAATCAGAAACCTCGGTTGACTCCCACAGCACCGAGCACCATCACACAGACAACTGCATCCCAGGCAAATGTTGGATTTCTGACTCTAATCAGTGCCTCATTGGGAAGCAGTTGCTGCTGTTTCATGGCAAGATGGAGGAGATGACAGCTCTGTGTTTCTCACTCCAGAATTGCCAGAAATCTTGTTTAAGAAGTGAATCAAAGCCTAAGAGACTGCACTGACGGAACTGCGCAGCATGCTGCTGCTGGTACCCCCCTTATCAGCTCTGCTGTGTGTTTCTCTGTGACCTAAGGCAGACACAGGATCCTACAAGCAGTATGTGGCAGCAGGACAGAGCTGCTCCGAGCTTGAAATGAAGGGCAGAGTTTCCTTTTGGTTGCTACTGATGGATAATAATTGCTCTCCATCTTAGCTGAAATAGTTTTGCCTGAGGTATTTAAATTTAAATGCAGCTTCTACACCTGCATGTAGCTTCCCTGGTGGTTTTTTCCTACTTACGTCCCTAATCCAAAGCAAATTGAACTCAGGTTTTAAACTCCCATTCAGAACAAGGAGTTTTGAGTGAGATCTTTATGAGCAGCTGTTCCTGTACCACCTGCGCCTGTGCTACGACCATCTGAGTTATTGTCCCCTCACTAATGCAAGTGAAATCTCTCAAGGTGGCAATCCAGATCAGCAGACTCAGTTTCCTTCAAAAAATATGTTTTCCTATAATTTTGTGGTATTCGATGAGGACAACAGCATCTGTTTTTGAAATGGGCAGTTAGTCTGCTTTACCTCTTTCTCCTTTAGAACCTTTTGGACCTTGAAGACCTGGGGTTCCTGGCAGACCTTGCAGACCAGCATCTCCCTTCTCCCCCTTGGGACCTGTAACATAATCACATCAACAAAATTATCTTAGTAACTCAAAGGTTTAACTTTACAAAGAAAAATTGCAATAATAGCTAAGCAACATGGCATTGAGGAACACATGTAAGGCAAACTCTGTTTCCATCACCCTGGGAAGAGCTGGTTATTTTATTTGACAGGATACAACCAGTGCAAAGAAAAAGTGAGACAGATGGGTTTGGCCTGAGCCCTGCTCCCCTACACCTTGCAGACACTGCAGCTGAAACCCTGCAGCGGGGCGAAAGGCGAGGGGTGGTAGGGGCAACGCTGCACTGCTTGTGCTGAGATCAGTGGGGTGCGTGCTCGCAGGTCCCCTGGTCAGGAATGCAGCTCCCCAACTTTGCCTTTCAGCTACTGCAATCCCCAAACTTTATAGCTTTGCATTTCACTCTTGGCTGTAGTGAAAGACTTTTTAAAACCAACTTTCAGCTGCCTTAGAGCCACAGGAGCTCAGACATTCATAAAACATCAGAAGTAATCTGTCTTTAATATGTGAGCTCATGTTAGGAGCTCCCATAGCGTCTTAATTGCCACTCTCCTTAAAAAGAATTAAGTCTGCAAATATGAAAGTGGAACCTGGCAGACAGATCCACGCTACATAAAGGGTGGGGTGAATGGCAAGCAAGCTGGCTTCAATCTTTTTTTTTACTTTTTCATCCACTCGGGAATCTAGAGACTCCCGGTGCATGTCTGGGAGCAGGCTACGGCAGCTTCAATCATCACAACACAAGTCATTTGACACAAGGACTTCTCCATCAACACTCAAGAGACATACGAGTGCAAAGTCCCTCTGCAGCCACTATAATTTCCATTAGCCAATGCCTCCCGAGCTATGGGAAGTGAAAATCCCTTGAGTACTTTGTATTAAAAGAAAATTATTTCATGATTTTACCACCTTTCCTCAGATGAACAGTTTCCATTTCCAAGATTAGTGCTATTAAAGTGAACATTTGCAGACTAATCCACTACTCATTATAGCAGTATTAGAATTAGGCGCTCCATAGATATGTATTTTAGCAGTAGAAAAAAGAGACAAAGTATGTCTTATAAAATATTTAGGTGCTCCATACAGAGCTGACGCTTGTGAGAGCAAGTATTTATTTTAAAATATGAACCCAAAATTATTTTTGTATTTAACTTCATCTTTGTCAAGGGGAAAAAAAAATCTAGGAAAAAACTTCAGCAAAGATACAAAACTGCTTGCAGGTAGTTTTGAGGGTCATAAAACCATGGTTGAAGTGAATGTGAAAGTAAATTTTTGCCTCCCAGGAGATCAGACACAAGGACAGAGAATCAAAGAGCGCGGCCACGTGGGGCACCCTCCAGGAATGATGTGGTATGGGGCCAGCGCCAGCTCTGCACATGCTCCCATGCCAGTGTGGTCCCCAAAGTGAGTGCCATCGGGAGGAGGCTCCTTTTTGGGTCTTTCCCACTGATAGTGGTGTTTTATAACTTCTGGGATGTGGCTAGCATGCACTCTTTTGCTCTGGTTTTACATGAGGTATAATCACATTCGGCATTTGCCGCAGAAGTCTTGCCAACTCATTTCTTGAAGGAAAAGCAGAAGATTCCTTGATACAGTTTATGTGCTTTAGCTGAAAGTGGCAAGACAGACATCACCATACCTGGAGGTCCCTGCTCCCCCGGCTGCCCCCGGGGCCCTGTGGCAGGCGGGCAGCAGTCACAGCAGTTGAAGAAGAAATCGGCTGAGTCGAGTGTGTAGTTC